CACTAGAAAACAAAAAGTCTTAGCTAACCATTTAAATTTTCTTTTTTATCACATAACCACTAGTTTTTGTTTGTTACATAAAATAATAATTCATAAGAAGAGTAGTAATTGTTTTTTGGACAATCAATGTATTGAAAATTTTCGCTGTTCTCTATTAGGCTTTACGTAGGTATTTAGTTTATTAAAGCCCTCAAAAAGGATACTGGAAGAAATTTGGACAAGCCAAAATTACATGTTCTTAGAAACGATATTTTTTGGAAGATTATACACATATTTATATACACACAAATCAAAAAACATTTCGTTCTTCTTCTTGGTGGGTATCCCGCAAGGTTCAATACTAAGCCCACCGCGATTTGAGGTTGCCTCGAAACGAACTGCTTCCGTTATATTACAAATCAAACATGTACAAAAGTTTTAACAAAAATATAAACATTTAAGTATTAAATCAACAACATGTTCTAATATAGCGTAGATATTATCTATGTTATCGTTTCTAAGCCATTAAGCTGTCTACCCATTAAATTTATAATGTATAAACACTTTGTCCAAATAAAAATTTCAACCATTTCATCGAACATTTTTATTTGGCCAATTTTTTGTAAATATTTTAAGAAAGCATGGGATATGTTAATTCTATTTAGACTAGCCTATATTATGATATGTCCATTTGTTTTTGGAACACGAATAGTTGTCAAAAATTGTGCCAGTCGAGTACAAATTACATTTTTATCACTTAAAATCATAGAAAAGCAACTCACATGAATTGTAGTTACACATAGTTAAAAGTATTCCAGGCTGTTCAGTGCATTTCTGTTATTTTCTTTATTAAGAAAGCTTTTTGTGCTTGAAAAGCCTCTAAATCTTGACACGAGGTTCTATTTGGAAAAATATTTCGTCGTCAAGTAGCCCGGAATAGACACACTTTGATTGTAATCATTTTTAAATAAACATCATTTTGCTTCTATCTAATACACCCAGTGCAATTTTATGAAATCTACATTATTACAAAATTTACAATTATTTTCTGGTCAATTAACAACAAATCTCAAAAATCCTCGGTTTTTTTTAACCGAGGATTTTTTAATTTCTTGTTTTAGGTGATAATATATTTAATTTTTTATTTAATATTATTTAAAGCGAACACAACTAGCATCAAACGACATATTCCATCAAAATTAAATAAGAAATTTTACATAATTTTATCTACCATGATTATTTGTAATTGTCACTTTTTAACGAATTTAATCTTACACCTTAATCTAATACCAAATTAGTATAAAGAGTTCATAATATATTCTCAAATATTTTTATTTTTAAAATGAGGTTATTGTTATATTTTTATTAAAATTTTTTCAGAACTCCAAATCAAAATGTAAGCTTAAAGTTCTCTTTGCAAAACTCACAAAAATATTCCAAAAATGTTTTTATAATTCTGGTTCCATATTAAAGACAAACTTGACCTGACTATTATATAGTACAAGGCCTACAAGGCTTTATTACACATTTATGTGGGTGAAAAACACGTGCTGAAATAAAATACAAGTCAATTGTTATTTTTGGCAATATACCTCTTGAAAAAGAGTGGGGGTATTTTGCAGCAGCGTCGTCATAGGGTTTAAGACTAAAGCAAAAATTTCGTTGCACAAAACACTTCTTTGTAAAATTCAAAACAAATAATGATTTTCCACATTCGACTAAATTAAATTATAATAAATAATAAATAATTTAAAGTTTACATCAAAAATTAAAATACTCTACCTTCTAGATCCTTCAAATTTAAAATTTGGTTAAAATTTAAGAATTTTATATAATTTAGTCTTGACTGTCAAATAATTAAAAAAAAATACAAATATAAATATTTTAAAAAATAGTAACAAATTAATTTTGAAATCACCCACTTAATATGTTTTTAAAAAACCTGGTCAATGATATTTTTATTATAAATTTTTGTCTAAAAAAATTTGTTGTGAAAAAAAATCTTAACATTTGATAATATTTTAAAACTTTTTAATATTAAAATAGATTAGATAGAAAATGTCAATAAATACATTTTTTTTTAATTATAAAAATATCTTCTTAATTTTAAAAAACAAACAGATTGAAAAAATCCCTGTTTACTCATTATAAATACAAAATAAAAACTTGAAAGTATATTAAAAATACATATCGTCCTACACTCTAAAAAACAATCTAATTATCTTACGTGATACATGTTTTACACACCAATTTAATATGGAATGCATTTTCTTAATTGGAAAAACTAATTTCCTCTAAACAAAGATCTAGACACATAGGAAAATATAGTGCACAATTATTTTTCTATAGGCCATGGTGCGAAGGTCATATTTTTTACACAATTCGTTGACATCGACTAAGAACAGGGCCGTATCCAAATAAATTTGGGCCCCAGTTGGGCTAAATACCGACCTGCATCTAATTATTAAGTGACATTTATTTTTTACACATTGAAAACAGTTAACTTAGGCCATACTACTCTTTCAACGGTATTAATACCTTAATAATAATAATAATTTTATACAGGGTGATACTGTGTAGCGGAGTACCCTGTATGTTTTGTGGAATATGTCGCAGTTTTTGGGTATATCTAACATTTAATTCAGCTTAACGTAGGATTTTACATCTATTTACAAATTTTCGAAGGTATCATTGATTTAATCAATGTTTTTGGTAATATTTGCACCATTTTATGGATATGTTCGAGTAATAATGCAGGGCTTAGAGCATAGACAAGTTGCGAAAAAGTGACAAACAATATTTTTTATAACATTGATTTTTGCATTAAAAATTTTATTCTGGATTAGAATAAATTTTGTGGAGTTAATTAAAAAAAGTAAAATAAATTTTTATATATTTTTATATATTTTTATACGGGGTTTTGGTAGCAGGACCAAATATTTTAAGTAAAAAAAAATCTTTTTTTTCGTACCCCAAATTTTTCTCACACCCTGCTGCAATAATTAATTAAGATTCCTTAATCTATTTTTTATTTTTTATATCTTTAAAATTTATTGAGACGAATTTGTAAAATTTTATGAAAATAAAATATTTTATTTTTTTTGTTTATTTTGTCCATCTATAACCCGAAAGTTAAATCTTTTTTTAATGGGTCTTTCAATATTGCGATTCATCTAAAATCGGGTAAGTATTTTTAATCTGAAATATCTTTAAATCCAAAATTTTTAAAAAAGTATATTTTATTTTGTTGAAATAAGTGGTTACAATTTAATCACTGAGACTTTATTATTTTTTAATTGGTTGTTTTTAACAATAGCTAAGATATTCTTCGATTCGTCTAAAATCGAGAATTTTCAATCTGAAATATCCCACACTTTAATAATCCAAAACTTTCAGAAAACATTCAATCATTGTATTGTTATGATTGAAGATCCATTTAAAAAAATAATTGAACTCTAGTAATTTTATTAATTAAATTAATTAATGAGAAGTATTGAATTTCTTTGTTTTATTTGAAACGAAGCAAAATATCAAAATATTTTGAAAATAGATTAAGGAATCTAATAATCTAATATTTGGGCTACTAAAACCTGAAACACTCTGTACATTCGACAAATTAATTCTGAGTAAGGTTAAAACTAATGTTTTTTTTTTGTTTTACTCCAAGATTAACACAAGGAAAAAAATGCTCGTCCTATAAATTCAACTCAAACTTAAAATTACATATTTTTAAAAGTCACTTATTCGCGAATTTAAAATAGCAGAGGCACTATAGACTATCTACTAGGTACTAAGATAGAAGAATTAATAATAGTTATTTGTCGACTATAGTTTTTTATATCAATAAGAATTTTAAGGCAGCAAAGATAATTAGCAGATTTTGGGTTCTTGCAATTTTTCAACTCTTAAATACTGTTTGGCATTAAAAGAACAGTAACTTTTTCAGTTATAATACCGATAAATCTATTAAAGCTACGATTGTTTACACATCAAAAATTTCAGTGTATCAAGTTCTTAACACTGACTTTTTTACTCTATAGTTTTATATGTTACGTTGATTGCAAGCCTGATGAAGAGTGAAATTTGATGAAAGTATGATTCATTAAGATTTTTTTATTTAGGCTTATCATTACTCAAACTATTTATAGAGGCTCAATTTTTGTAATTGCACTAACATTAAACAGAGGCTCTAACAATAAGCTGCTAATAGGCATTGTTATTAATTCCATCAAAGACTGGTCCAATCAAAAAACATTTATGTAAAAAATTGGTTTTGAAAAACACCGCGGTGTTTTTCAAATGAACTAGCTGTACAATAACGTTCAAATTTATACAGGGCTGCTCGAAAAAATTGCTTTCATAATATAATTTGCTTTTTTATTATTATGTTACAGGAATATGGCGTTTTAAAATAAACTGTTTTCGAACAACCCTGTGTATTTCCTAAAGTTTTGTAGCGATACAATTCCCATCGCATTGCAGCCCCTTGATTAATATAAACCACCGGAAAAATTATTTTCAAGAAAATATTTAATTTTTTAGTGAGAATGATTTTCAAGGTGGATTTTTTCATGTAGGCCGGGTGAAAAACTATTATTCCACAAGCATCTGCCTTCGTATATCCCAAAATGTATGCTATATAGGTAGGTAATATGATTAGGAATATTTTTTTGTTTTTTTATATAGTGCGGTATCTTTTGGGAGTTTGATACAAACTACTTGGCGATGGTGTGGGAAGTCTAAACAGTTTAACCAATTTAACCAATGGTCCCAGGACAACGGCTTCTTAGGGTTACATTAATATAATGTAACGAAAATACCCACACCATCTTTGAAATAAAACGGTAAATCAAATAAATTATAGACTACATTGAGGGATAATACAGGAAATAAGGGGTCTCATTTAAAAAAATCTCCCAGGTTATTTCGACACATCCTGTATATCAAAGCAGTACATATTTTTTTCTACGCAGCAAAAAGCAGAAATCTAATCCCTTTTCCGTGTAATTTCCATTTTTTTTCTTCAATCATGACAAATACTACGTATACGCGCGTATCTATTGCTCCTTAAAAGGGGGGTTTGATTTTCTAAGTTGGTAACTATTGCAAATATGTGCTCTTCATTCCTGCCAGGGCCACCAACAGCAGGATTAAAATCCCCCAGGAGTTCTGTTGAGGGTTGGACCGGTTGGTACAATCTTTTTTAGATGGTTGGTTTTGCATTTCCACTAAAAAATAGAAAAAAACATGTTAGATGAATACTACAAATTTTTTAAACAGAAACTAATTTTTATTTAAAGATTTTTGATGTGCTGCTGAATCCAAATTTAACCTTAGAATTTCTCTATCATGTCAAGTTTTTTATAAATTTAAACCCAAAAGTGTTAATGTAATTGTCAATATTTGAGTTTATATTATTTATTATTTTATGGTCTAATTTTTGGCTTTACATTTTTTTAAATAAATTTTTTTTTTAATTGTTATCACCAATGGATGCGGTTTTATTTAATTTTGATATATTTAATACATGTTTGTTTTCAAAACAAATAAAAGAAACTGGTTGTAATTTAAAATTATAATTATGCAAATACTTTTTATAAAAATAAAGCCAATAAATAATAATATTGTTGATATTTTCTTATTAAATAATAAATATATAAACGTTTATTTAGCTAAAGCTATTATATATAATATAAACTATAGTTTCTTACATAAATAAATACATTACATATACACGTTTTGTTTAATATATGTCAATGGTAATTTCTTAAAGTTTTTATAATTATCACAATTTTTAGTTTTTGTTGTTAAATTATTAAATATAATAAGGCAATTTTTAAAAACATTGTTCATACATTTAGCAGTTCTAGAAGTTTCTATATAAAAATCATTTGTATTTCTAGTTTGATATGCATGTATGGAATTAACATATTGTCACATAGATATTTTGGCACTTTTCCGTGTTTTATTTTAAATATAAAAAATAAACCTTAAATCATTATTCCGGACGATTTTTGTAATATATACAAAATGAAGAAAAATTTCCATAAAAAAAATTAAATGACCCCTCAAAAAAGTCTATGAGAGTCAAATCTAATGATCTGGCCGGCAAATCCAGAGCTTGTCTTCCCTGATAGCACACTTTATTCTAAGAATGTTTTTTAAACCTTCCAGTGAGAATATTCTTAGGATCATGCTATATTTCTTCTAAAGAACATGCTTAAAAGACATATAGCATGATCCTAAGAATATTCTTTCTGGCCTATAGGCAGGTTCTTAGAAGGTGCAAAGTTTTAGTGGTAAAAATTAGTCTACTCTAAACATATGCTTAGGATGTTAAGAAAGTAATTGCTATAGAAAGTTCATTTAGGAATATTCCTGTTAAGCATATTTAGTTCAGTTACCTATATAATAGTAAAATATAACATAAACTACGTATAAAGGTATATACCTATACTTAATTAAGTACCTAATTAGTAATTAGTATTAAATACTAAGTAAAAAACACAATCCAAAATATTTTTTTATAGTTATTTGTCAAATTAAAACAATATTCGATAACAAAAATACTTTTACTTTAGGTATTTTATTTTATGTTAAAAATAAATATTTATTAGGTAATTTGATTTGATTTGATTTTTTATTTCTGAATTAACATTTTTATGTATAATAATCCTAACTATCTTCAACTTCAATCTAATCTGACTTATACCACAAAATTTTCCAATTTTACGAATGTAGAATACAACATATTAGAACGTGGGTATCTGACATATTTGGAAATATTCTCAAAAGCTTCCTAGAAGCTCCATAAGAAACCTTCTAAGAACATTCCAAAAATGTATTCTTAAAATTTTCTTAGGATGCTTTTTAGGAAGGTTTTAAGAAGCTTTTAAGAATTTAATTGCATCATTAAAAGGGTATCTATTGAATGTTTTTAAAGTCCCTAAGAACTTCTTAGCAATAAGGGAAGGTTCTAAGAATATTCCATTATTCCGGGTCATATCTTCTTAGAAGATTCTTAAAATCAAATTTTGCTATCAGGGTTCGTCCAATCCATTGTAGTGTGTATTATGGAGGTGCTCCACCTTGTTGGAATATTAAATGTCTTCGTTTTAAACAATATCAATTAACAGTTGAGTCAAGAAAAAGTTTATGAGGAGTTTCAGTGTGAACTCTTTTCGCAATACTGTAAACCTTTAAAATATGAGTATGGGTGATTACTTAACATAATAATTGATATAGGAGAATTCTTTTTTACATAAAGAAAGCGTTTATTAAGTTTTAAAAATGTATGTAAACTTTTTGGGTATTGATAAAAATAAATTAAATATTTTTTTATACTTTATATTTTGAAAACAGAAACATAACAATAACACATGCAAAACTACATCGTTGTAAATTTAGATTTTACATAGCAAAATTACGAAATTAATATTCTCCTTGCTATCGACCGCAAGATCTTTACCAGGGAAATTAATTATTCATAACGGCAAAATATATCATCACAAAATGACATTCCATACATTGTTGTATCTTTAAACAGAACCGGGCTTATTATTAATAATAATGCCTCTAAAACTCGCATAAATTTTAATCAACCCGTAGCAGAACAAAGATTAATTTACTACAGCTCAACCAAAAATGTAGGATTTTTATTTTGATGTATTACCCACAATTCCCAATGGATGTAAATAATTTACTTTTAGCATTAAATTTGGATATATACAGTGTGGTAGATTTAAGATGGAAACCCCCTTAACTTGTCTCATTTTTCAGGCATGCGGCATTCAGTGGCGTACTAATTTTTTTCGAAAAAAAAAACGACCCTAATATTTTTTTTACGAATTTTAAGATAGAGATGTTACAGTAGGCATATGTGAGGTTATTTTTTATACCTTAGATAGAGTTTTTTATTCTTTATCTTTTGAGCCTTTGTTCATTAAAATCGAGTAACAAATAAAAACGTTAAGGGGTTGTTTCCATCTTAAATGGGCCACACTGTATAAAATATATTTTTTGTCTATTAAAAAGTTTTCTGTCATGTCCTTTAAGTTTCTTTATTTTTTTATTAGTTTACACACGTTTTTATGCATTAAAACCATTGATTTTTAAGTTTGACTCTAAAAAAGCATTTTAGCAAAGCTTTTAAGTATTTATTTTAATATCTAGAAAAAAGCTATTCCAACATCCAAAATGCATTTGCAGTGCAAATTTTGCACGTAACATGTTCGACAATCTAAATGAAAAAGAGCTAGCAGCAACAAAAAATCTGGGATAATCCGGATGAAAAAGTTTTTATTTGGAAAAGCAGGAAAACGGTTACCTACATTGCGTAAAGTTCAGTCTAATTAGAATGCAGCTTGCCTAATGGGATTGAATTTGTTCGGAACATCTGAGGTCGCCCCGTTCCAGACTGTATAATTTTCGCATTAAGAAAAACCATTTAATTAAGAATTAAATTTATTTTTTTCTAATTGAAATAACCAAAACGTCAAAGCTGCGCGCTCCAAAGTAAAATAAATGTATTAAATCGGGAAAAGCATGAAAAATTAAGTTTAAAATTATAGATAATTATACGACTGATTAAATATAACTAGCCAGGGTAATTTGGGTAATTCCAATTCCATTTTGCTCAATTAGCTCTTAGTTTTTTGCGATATTAGAACTGTTTTTTTGACATGCAAATATTAAAATTTGTATATGTAATCGCCAATATCCGAAAACAGTAATTATGCATAATAACTAAGCATTTTATGAATCATTATGCATAAGAACTTTAGTCATAATGCATGATTCATAAAATGCTTAGTTATTATGCATATTGACTATTGGCGGTAACATATATACAGGGGGGTCCAAAAGGAACATTTAATAATTTTAGAAACAATAAAAAACGGTATATATTATAAAATAATATTCATTTTCTTAATAGGATTTTAAAGTTGCAAATATTTTATTTAAAAAAAATTACTCCCAAACTAAAGAACATATTTTATTGAAATTTGGTGAGAATTGCTTTTTTATTAGGTACGATAGTTGGGCATTAAATTTGTTTTTATAGTACAAGCAGTGTCGTCACTACGGGGGTGATAATACCCCTTTTTAGAGAACAAATGCAGTTTTTTAATCTTATTTTTAATATAGTTTATTTCAAAACAAACATTCTTGATTTGTAGCTATAAATTACTAAGAATGAATATTGCTTACATTCTTACGTTTTACGTTTTCTTAAATCAATTGTTGATTTTAAAAATGTATAAAAATGATTAGATCATTGGCGTATCTTTTATTCGCTGAAAGGGGAATATGATAAAATTTACTGTGAAAAGATACATTTCAAGAAAAAACTTCAAGAGAAGTTTTTTCCGTAAATTTTTGTAAAAATGTCAAAAAATTTGTTTCATCATTGGCGTATTTTTTTAATAAGGTTATATCATATCCCCGTAGTGACGCCTCCATAGTATAATAACAAATTTACGGTACCTAATAAAAAACCAATAAGTACCTGCGTATGTTTTTTGCAAAGATTTTTTTTAATGTATGCAATTTTAAGCTAGTATTTCTAAAAGTGTTTTCGATATAAGTAAACTCCAAGACTGGACAATTTTCAAAATTCAAAGTGCTGTAACATAAACAATTTTTGCTCGATTTAAATGAAATTTGAAAATGTCACTCAAAGCAACCGCGCATGTCAACATTTATTTTTACGCTTAATTTCTCTTCTGGCGCTTGTACGACTTTTTAAAAAAATTTGTCTTTCAAAAAAATTATGCTTGCCATTTTATTACATTTATTTTAGCAAAACCTTTTTGAATATTTTTTTAACATTTTCGTTAATAGTGTTATTTTTTTTTATTTAAAACTCTTACAAATAAAAATTTTAATTAATTATTGCTCACAGAATTTATTTAAGTAAATGACATTTTAGTAATTTTTATTTCATTGCGTAGAAATTTTAACACAATAAAGTAAACAGATAAAGCCACAAAATTTTGTAAATTTTATTAAAATCAAAAAAAAATTGTTCGTGTTAAAACTTAAAATTAAATTCAGTAAAATTGACTTAAATTGGAAAATTAATGACATCAGGATACGGGAACCTCAGGAAGGAAAATAAAATCGCTAAACATTAATCCCTCTTCGGTTCGTCAATCAAGGTTTACTTCCTGCAAAAAAAGAATGAGCATCGCATCAGGAAAATCAATAAAAAACCAACCAGGAGAAACATTGTAAAAAACAAAATTATCGTCAAGCCAAGCTCTTTATTATTTTTTTAAATCGTCAACACAATCCTGCTAGATGACATTTCTGCAGTATTTATGTTAATTTCTTGCATCCTTTTATTGTTTTTAAATCCGCTCAGGACTGCAAATATCGATATGTGCATTAAAACTCGTTTATATGAATTTCCGGCTGTTGTTATTTCACTATCTACCTATTAAAATTTTTAACCAGTAAATTCTGCAAAAATCGGCATGCAGCAGTAAGACTTCTGTCAGAGAGACTTTGGTTGAAAGGGAATTTGCGGTCTATATACAGTGTGTCCACGGATGGACTTATAAGTTATAACTATATCTACTTAAATATTTGTTTTAAATTTTTCGAAGAAAAGTCACTCCTCATAATTTTTTCTGCTTGTTATATAAATACCATTCATGATGAGAAACTTCTATTTTGTTATACAGGAGGAGCAAAAAAATACAATTGCAGATTTTTCAAAATTAAAAATTGTTAAATATATTTTTTTTAAGGTTTAATATGAAGAGTTTGCAAGGAGAAACCAAAAAGCCAAATAAAGTTTTTCCTGTGAATTGTTGTTACAAAGATATTTGTTGTTAAAAATAAAATCAATTCAGGTCCTAACTTGAGTGGTCCTATTATTTTGTAGAAATTGATTGCTATCTCATTTTGTGATTATAAATCAAGGTTGTTGCTTTCAACTGACATGTCTACAATTATTTGTTAAAATTTTAAAACTAATATCTTAAATTTTCAATACCAAATATCTTAGTATCAAAAACTCATATGAAAAATTTTCATTTGACTTTTTGATTTCTCCTTACCAGCTATTTATAAAAGCGCTTAAAAAAAATATTTAAAATTTTTTAATTTTGAAAATCTGTATTTTTGCTCACCCTGTACAACAAAATGGATGTTTCTTAACGCGAATCGTATTTATATAACAAGCAAAAGAAATTTTGAAAAATGACTTCCTCTCGAAAAATTGAAAATAAATATTTTTACAAGTATAGTTAAGTCCATCCGTGCACGGATGGACTTAACTATGTGTCCATGGACACACTGTATATTTAGATAGACGCATTCAAGTCCCGAAATACAAGGGGCCCTGCGGTTCCTGCTGTACGTAGTCCTGCTGCAGCCGCGCCAGCAGGACGTCCCAGGAGGATTCCGGAACGATTTTTTCACTACGTTTGTGCGCCTAGGACTACTACACCGATAATCCGGGAGATGATGGATTCACTTATTTGGATGGTTTTTGTTTGATAAGATTTTAAAATACATTTAGTAAAAATGTCTGATACTTTTTTGTTATTTACCTTATATGGTAAATTAATATTTATTTGTAATTAACAAAAAAATTAAACATATTTCAAATAAAATCATTTCATATTAAAAAATTAATTATACAATCATAAAAATTAAGACAAAAATACACTGCGCGTCAAAATTACCGCATAACAAGTAAAAAAATCCAACTCTAAAACGCCTTTATTAATCTTTATAAAATTTTGGATAAAAATACTTTAGCTTATATCTCAGTTTACGTGTTTAAGGGTTTTTCGAGAAAATATCCTTAAAGCCCTTTTATTTAATAATAAAAAAGGCTCCAAAAAAGTTTTATAGGGAATTTTTTTTGAAGTAAATAAAAAATAGGCTGTGAAAGACCCTATTTTTGTTAGTTTACCCTGAAAATGTTGTACAAATCAAACGAACAGTAACGAAAAGTCGATAAAAATGACCACTTTTCAGAGAAATAATCTGCCCTAAAGTTATTTTTTAAACGTTTTTTTATTACTAAATAAAAGGGCTTTAAAAATATTTTCTCGAAAAACCCTCGAACTTTGATATAAGTTGAAGTATTTTTATACAAAATTTTATAAAGATCGTAAAAGGCGTTTTAGAGTTAGAATTTTTTTACTTATTATGAGCAATTTTGACGCGCAGTTTATGAAATTCTTTGACTGTTGAACGTGTTCTTATATTATCCATGTGAAGCAAATGGACAAGCTCAATTCTTATGTAGAATCCTCCAACTTCTTCCTGGGGCAGGAAGTTAAAGAATAGTTATTAATAAAGTAGTAAGGTCTGTTTTTTTATTCGGAATTTGACACATTTGATTATGTTGGTACTCAGGGTTGTTCCGTCTATTACATTTGTAATAGATCTATTACAACGGCCAAAAATCTATTATGTCATTACAATAAATCTATTAACTATTAACTATTACATTTTCAAGATTTCTCTGTTTTTTCATTTTTGTGATTTAAGAAAGGTGCAAATAATTATCCTAAAGGACAATAACGAAATACTATTAAACAAAAAACCTATTAATAGGAAAATATTTTTTAAATTCTCTACCACATATTTAATTATTAATTTAGTTTTGAAATTTCATTGCTGTCAATATAAGAGAAATAATTGCCAACTATACCCCCAAATTATTGACGTTAAATTCCGAATAAAAAAACAAACTCTATTAGACCACTTAATAGGTTTTTGATCAAAATAGTATTAAATTATTGCCTGAAGAATAATTATTTGTGCATAGACCTTTTTAAAACACATAAATGCATTGGAATTTGATATTTTCCTGTGTTTAAATTTTATAAATTAACAAAAACTGTCAAAGTATTTAATTAAGACATTGAACAGAAGGACCAACATAATCAAATGTGTCAAATTCTGAATCAAAAAAATAAACCTTACCCACGTTGGTACATTTGGCGTTTTCAACTTAAAAAATATATAATCTTCCAAACATTTTTTTTTTAAATAGTGATATTCTTAGCTTTACTTTGCAGGAAAAATTAAAATCGCGTATGTAGCTGTTGTGGAGATATACACTTAAATGTATTTTTTTTTATAAATGATTGCGCAACAGTAAGCTTAGTCTCTGTGTATCGCCTCTTGTGTTGAGGTTTCTAGCCAAGTCCCTTGTTTTTTTTTAAGTCAGTTTCCCAAAATCCCCAGCAATAGCCAATATATTCATGGAAGACATAGAAGTACGAGCAATCGAAACGGCAACACTAAAACCAAAGTTATGGCTACGGTACGTAGAAAACATATTTATCATCTGGACCCACGGAGAAGCGGAACTGAAGAAATTCCTGAACCATCTCAACAGAATTCCCAAAAAGATTAAATTCACAATGGTAACCGAGAAAGAACACCAATTACCTAATCTGGTCTTCATAATCAAGAAAAATAATGGCAAATTAGCACACACGCGCAGTCTCACCACCACCCGTCACAACTGCAGTCAGTCATTAAGACACTTGTCACGCGATCCGAAAGGCTGGCGGATGATGACCACAAGAAACAAGAAGACCTGAAAATCCAAACGACGCTACAGCAAAACGGATTCTCCAAAACCATCATCAAAAAGGCTCTTAGACCACGAAGCCGGTTAAATACCACAGAAGACGAGAACAACAAACCAACTTCGAAGGCCTTCCTTCCTTACGTAAAAGGGACAACCGAGAGAATAGGCGTTCTCAAAAAACATAACATTGAGACAACATTTACCGCCCCAAGAAAGATTGGTCAAATACATCCAAACGCCAAACCAAAAATAGAGTTAGAGGCACAAGGACTGTACGAAATTCCTGGCGCTACGCGGTCTCGTGATTTTATTAAAATATTTTGCATTCAACATTTTACAAGAAAAACCAAACAAAAAACTACTGAGCCTAGTTTAACCGATTAAATTCATAGTTCTAGTGATATAATATATGATCGAATTTCGACAATTTTCGAATTTTTGCGGTAAGTTAGTACAATTTGATGATAGTACAGAATTATTAAACGCTATATTTAACACCGCCTATTAGATAATTTACTATTTGTTGTAAAATAATAATATAGTAATTAATAATTTTTATTATTAAAAGCATCAAGGATAAAACTGAAACAAATTCAAATTCACTTACACAAAATCAAACTAAATAAACTAAAAGACATTTATTGAAAAAATAAACAAAACAAAAAACCTAATCTATCTCATTCACACTACTACTTATGTTGCTAAATTGTTCAGTGTACCAGTCAAACAACATGGTTCTATTAGAGGTGCTATGTTTTACACAAGTACCTGATAGCTGCTGCAGCTGGGGCAAGTACTTCTTCCAAAAGGCGCATTGCTTTAACCTAGGCCCCCTACCGGTCGCCGTAGTATTAACGTCTAGAATTAGGTATTCTCGTCCGTAGGCCGTGTGCAGTGGCCAGAATGTCGGGGTCCAGACGCCGTTGGAAGATAAACTTGGATTACCTGGTTATAAAAATAAGAAGTGAGATATAAGCTATGAAACTGAAAACATTTGCTTACCTGTTTTGGCAAAATTGGCCCAATATCTCATAATCCTTTTGCTTAAATCGACCTCCTGCGCAGTATAACTTTTCGTAGGGTTTAAAGGCTCCCCAAAAACATAATTAATCTCATCGGCGTGCATAACCCCGGTCCAAGAAGGCCAAGGATTGGCAACTGTCCTATACTTATAATAGTACATGTAAACATTGTTGCCCAACTCAGCATATCTGTGCGCGAAATCGTTTACATTGCAGGTGAAATGGTAGTCACCCACCATTTTATCAAGAGCGTCTCTATTAGCGATGGGGTCATCAGGGTTGAGCCAATCAGTGTACTCGAAAACTATGGCTTGCCGGGCTACTTGATTTACATATGGGTTTAACTCTGTTACTGCTTGAAGGAATTCTTGTCGGTTCACGTAAACATTTTCTTCTTTCCTGAAGAGTTCAGTGAGGTAGTAAAGTATGAAGTAATAGCCCTCTTCGGTATTGGAACCCATGAGGATGTTGGTTTTTTTGAAGTTCTTATTGGCGAGTGCGCGGACTGGGTGTTCATCCAAGAAAGCGCCATCTATGATCGGTACAAAGGGAAATTCGCAGATCCCTAGGGTACCCCATTCATTATTGACTAACTCAACTGGGTCTTTTTTCTTCAGGCATTCTATAACAGCGTTTATATCGCTTTCCTGATGCGGGCAACCGACTGCTTCAGCAAGCCTAAGACCTCTTAGTAAAGATTCTTCCCTGGATATTATAGCCCAAGGTGCTGTAGCACTACCGCTCTGCATTATAGCTTGCGAGAACAAGTTTCTCGATAGCGGCGATAATAAATGCAGCGATACGGATACTGCACCGGCTGACTCACCGAACAAGGTTATGTTATTGGGGTTACCGCCAAAGGCGGCGATATTATCCCGTATCCACTGCAGCGCCATTATTTGATCGAACATACCAGCATTCCCAGGCACGTCCGAAGTCCCGAAATACAAAAATCCCAACGACGCCAGCCGATACTGCATCGACACCACTATAATATTCTCCTCGGCCACCATAATATTGTAATCGTACACGTCCAGTGTGGTGGTACCGGAGTAAAACCCGCCTCCGAACACCCAGACAAGGACCGCTGCGTTTACCGGGCGAGGTTTCGGGACCACCACGTTTATGTAGAGGCAGTCTTCGCTTAAGGGGGTGTTGGGATTCCACATCGTGGCGCCGGGAAAGTCTCCGAACACCGTGTCGATGATTTGGACGCACGAGTTTGGAGGCGATGTCGTGTTGAGGATTCCTTCCCATTTTTCTGCTGGTCGGGGATGACGAAATCTACAAAAAGAATTAATGGTAAGGTACTTTATGAGGGTATTAGAGATTATAATGTAAGAAATATAAAAGGTGAATTGATTGGTGATTGTATACCAATAATATCATTTGTACCAAAATTAACAAAGTTTTATATTTTAATGTCATTGTTTAGTACTTATATGTGATGCAGAAAGGAAAAAGGAACCTCAGCTGCAATTGCAGGAAAGATTTTTTTAGTTTTATCGATTAAGGATGTTTAGGATCTCATCTCACGCCTAATGTAATCCCTAAACCTAAAAATTTTCACCTTTTAAAGTTTGAAGCGCTTTCCATAAAAAAAAAATTTCTCAAAAAAGCACCTTAACATTATCTATAAGCAAAAATTTTTTAATTCGAATTTAAAAGAATTTTTATTTTACATTCTTTGGACAACGTCGTTTTTCGACAAAAAAAATGGACAGTCGATGAGTTCACGCGCCAACGTCGCTTTTAGCAATCTACTGCCTCAATTATTACAAAAAAATGTGCTACCTTTCTGTACTATACAGTGTACAGGGTTTCCGGAAAACATACCTACAAACTTTTAGGGGTAATAAAGAACATTAAAACTAACATTTTTTTCCCGTTTATTTGAAATTAACTACATCAAATAACCTTTGCTTCGCTCCACAGAGAAAATGGCAAAGTAAATCGTTATGATGGTTCTGGTCGTCCAAGAACAATCCGTACAATAGAATTTAAAGAAAAAGTTCTACACCGTGTGGAGAACAATCCATCCACAAGTGTCTGCGAAGTTGCACACCATATAAACTCCTCTAAATCGTTTTTATGGAATGTTATGCATGAAAAATTACTCCAGCATTTACAACAAGTGCCAGCTTTAATTCCTGAAGATTCACCATTTTGATTGGTTTCTTTCCAATGGTTTTTGGGTCGCAATTTAATGGATCCTCACTTTAGAAGAATGGTATTATTTCCTGATGAAGGTTGTTTTACGGGTTCCGCTATTATTTTAATAGCAAAATTACATAATTTTTTCGTTAGTAAAAAGTTTTTAAAATAATTTATTTTTGTTAAAAGGGATGTGATTGGTAATAACACACAAACTTACATAAACTAGACAACAGTGTTTAATGTTTTAAACTGAAGCTAAAATAAAATGTAAGTACTACTTATAAACAATTTATTTACAGTCAGCTTTTCTAGGCTACTGTGTTAACAGTTAATGTATATGTGTCCTAATATACGAGGTGTGTTCAGAAAATAACGGGAATTGTTAAATTTCGCGGGTTCGGAGGGTCCGGTTGTCATAAAATTTTCTTTATTATGTTGGTATACATACCCCCGAAGTATGATAAAAACTTTAGCTGTTTTTATTGTTTACTTTGTCTGTGGCAGCCGCTAAGGTTAGACGTGTTTTATGAGCTCGGCGATTTTTCGTTCGTTAAAAGAAATGGATCAAAATTTTTTTATCCAATTTTGCTTAAAAAATTAAATAAATTCTGTGAAATGTTAACAAAGGCCTATAGTGAGTCTATAAGTAAAACAAGAGTTTACAAGTGGTATAAGAGTTTCCAAGATGGCCGTGAAGACGTTGAAGATGACGAACGCCCCGAACGCACAAGCACATTAACAACCCATAAAAACATGGAAAAAGTGAAAGAAATGGTTATAAACCATCATAGAAGTCGCTGATGATGTTGGTATATCGATTGGCTCATCCCATGAAATTTTTTCAAATGTTTTGGGTATGAAACGCGTGGCAGCAAAATTTTTTCTAAAATTGTTAAATTTTGAACAAAATTTTTGGCCTAAAACAATACTGTAATGATGCCCCAGCCTCCATATTCGCCAGACATGCCTCTGTCTGACTTTTTCCTATTCCTAAAAATAAAGAGAACCTTAAAGGGCCGTCGTTTTGCAAGCATAGATGACATTAAAAGCGCATCGCTGAAAGAACTAAAGGCTATCCCAAAGATCGAGTTTTAGAAGTGTTTCGAGTATTGGAAGAAGAGCTGGCACATGTGCATAATATCCACTATTTTGAAGGCGACAACATTAATGTAGACGAATAAATAAATATTTGTTTCAAAAAACGAAAATTTCCGATATTTTCTGAACACACCTCGTATATGGGCACGTAACTACATTTAAAATGATAAAATACTCATGCTTTGATTTCTAGAAAACACCAGCAAAAAGTTTCGGTAAAGATACATTAAATGTAAATTTCACTTTAATTTTTTGCAAAATGTTTTGCCGGACTATTGGAACAATTTTTTTTTAAATTTAAAAATTACAAACAGCATATGGTTTCAACATGACGGGGCACCTCCACAATTTGGTTTGAACATGCGCCAGTATCGGACCCTCCGATGGATTGGAAGAGAAGGTTCCGTAGCCTGGCCTGCACGTTCACCAGATTTAAACCCACTAGAATTTTTGCTTTGGGATTATCGAAAAAGTTTAGTTTATACAATTGTAGCAAGAATTATGACTGCTCGTACACATGTAGAGGCTTTTCCTGGGATATTCCATAGGGTACGTGATTCAATGCAATGCAATCTTTGTGTTCCATTTTAAATAAGTATTATAAAAATAAAACAGTGGTTTGGTAATTGGTACCATTATTAATTTTAATATATTATTTGTATAAATACATTTTCCAAAACTGGGTTTTTCTTTTTTATGTCAAAACGGCTAATTTGCGAACATAAGCAAAAAATGTTGTTTTTTGTCTTTTACTACCCCTAAAAGTTTGTCGGTATGTTTTTCGTATTATGACCCATTTATTGAAAATTTAGTTATCATCAAAAATAACACTTTTATTAATAAAAAACACTCACCTTAAGTTTCCGATGGGCTTCTGCGCGTACGGTATGCCCATCCACGAGTCCACTTTCTTTCCAGTGACGGCCGTGAGCGTGACCCCTCGCACCTAAAGAATAAAAGAAAAAATATTAATTACATATATGTAAAAAACACTATGTTTTTTTTTTAGCATATAATAATTTTCATATCATACCACTCATAAGTCTACAGGGTGAACTAAGTATCATTCTATCCAATTTCAGATTTTTTTCGCCTACTAGATTTTAAGTTAGCACCACCATTTTAAGTTATTGGAATTTTAGATGGTTAGATATAAAAAAAATCAATACGCCAACGATGTATAAAACTACATAAAAATGGCGGTCATTATAAAAACAAAAGATGGTGATGGTAACGCAAAATATAGTAGCGAAGAAATTGTATGAAAATGTAGATTAATGTGTGTTTTACATGTAAAACTTACTTTTTTTAATTCCCAGGGATAACGAAGTTTTTGAAAGGTTTTTAGTTTTTTCAATTATTTTGAGAACCACTGGCTTTTTTCCAATTTATAAATTTAATTTAATAGGCTTATAATTACGCAACTTTTCTGCAATTTAAACGACCTTGTATAGTTTTTCAAATAAAAAAAATACCCATAGAAGTATAATACACATAAAAGGACACTTGGTACTTTCTTAAAATGAAATAGTCAAAATTCTACTATTTAAATTAGTATCAGCATTGTTTACTAATAAAATAGTCGTTTATACTTTAAGATAGTTTTTTTACTATAGTAAAAAAACTAAAGTATACTTAATTAGTTAAAGTTTGACTAATTTAACATAAGTCAGGATAAGATCGGAATGAAACTAGAGAATATCTATAGAACTATAGTTTAAATTACATTTTAATTTCTGTAGCTATTCAAAATACGGCTGCAAGAAAAAAGGTGCAATGGTGCAATTACCTTATTAAAACGCTTACACAGCTTTAAGCAGTTTTTTAAACAAAGTAGGACATGCCTCAGCGAAAAAACAACTTATATGCAGTAATTTGTTATCAGTGACAGTTAATAGTATCTATTGGTTATAAAGAATTGTTCTCTCGATAATTTTGAAGTTTTTGAAATAAAAATGACTATAGTTGTATACAAACGCAAGATTTAAATTGAACCATGAAGAAAATAGAGGTATAGTCTGTGCCCAATGCGGTGAAAAGATAATTTTTGGAAAATCCCTGCCCAATAGCATGTTTGTAATAACTGCAAGATTGGAAAGATTACTTGTTAAATTTACTAATCCGAAATATAGTCTAAGCAATATCAAGTTTTCAACTGCAAATTGCGGTACATGCAGGCATACTCTTTGCGATTATGAAAAAAATATTAAAACACGCAAGATGGTAAAAATGCCAGACTTTGAAAAAGAAAATGTTATTACAAACTCCACTATGAATATCCAAAATTAGGTGCGTGCGTGCAGAATATGCACAACAGCAAGATTTAAAGGAAGGTAACACGAGGAAGGGAAAATACAAAAAACAAGGAAAAAAGGGCCCAGGATACCGAAAATAAAATTATTTTGGGAAAAATCGGTTTCACAAGAGTTGGTAAAGAAAAAAAACATATATGTACGAATTCAGAAAGACATGGAAATGTCGTCAATATTATAAAAAAATTTACGCCGAAAACTCAAGAACACGTCGTTTCTTCAGTTCTCAAGACCCGAGTATTAAAATCTAATAATTCATCATCTTCCCGCAAAAATGCTATTAGTCTAACGAAGATTGTCTACGGAAGATTGTATTAGATTTTTGAACGGTGCTGGGTTGGACACATGGTCTGAGCAGGCTGGGGAGTCGATCCTTCGCGAGTTTATAAAATACTGGAATAAGTATAAAATCAATTTACTTGAACATCCTGATTATGGTGTACATTTAAAAAAAGGTGTAGTAGACTTTAGTTCTAACAATTTGTAAATAATTCATAGTTTTCTGTAAATATATTTATCGACATTCTCAAAACGTCAAGGTATGTGTGATTCAATTTGAGGAGAACTTCGTACCTTGCCCTTCTTGATCTGCACCACGAGCGGGTCCTCCTCCGTGGAGTCCCTGCGCGTGAACTCGCGCTTGTCTTCGAGCGGCGCGTCCCTGCGGAACTCCTCGGAGTCGCGGTGCGGGTCGAAGGGGTCGTGCGACATGTGGAACGGCTCGGCGTGCGGCTCGCCGGGGGCGTGGTGGCGGCCGCGGTGCGGCGTCGGCAGGCACGCGGGCAGCCACGCCATGCTGCAGGCCAGCAGGCACCACGTGGCCCGCAAGCTCAAGCTGCCACTCATTCTCCCTGGCAAGGCTGGTACTCGGCTCGGCTGATTGGCTTTTTCGGAACAAACAAATCAAATTTTCATTAAACATGTGCTTTTTCTATTGAGAGAAAAGTATAATGCTGATTACCATAATTATAATACCCTTTACTATAATTTAATAATAATAATAATAATAATAATAATAATAATAATAATAATAATAATAATAATAATAATAATAATAATAATAATAAGTTTATTTTCAAAAACAACTAAGGTTGTACAGAAAAATAGGCAATTCCTTACAATATTAATAAAAGGAAATGCATATAACCTTATAAATAAAATAAATTACAACAAATTAAATATTAATCAGCTAAAAATTACAATGAAAATTTCTTATGAAACACTAGTTACCTAATCCACACTAAAAATCATCATTCAAGAATTCATGATATGAGTAATACGATTTGGTAATAAGAAGTTGTTTTAATGAAGATTTGAAATTTCTTAAATTTTGAGATCTAATGTGAACAGGCAACTTATTGTAAAATTTTGGGCCTAAATACAAAATACTCTTTTGGAATAGGCTGGTGTTATTTGCCTCGTATATAATTAAACCATTTTGACGCGTGTTTGAGTTAAAAAAACTAAAATCACTTTTATTCTTATAAAGAAAACCTAAACATTCAAAAATAAACAAGGAGGAAAACTTCAAAATGTTGTTTAAATTAAAATATTCTTTACAACTTTCCCTTTTTTTTAAACCTAAAATTATTCTTAAGGCGAATTTTTGCAAAATAAATACTTTAGATGAGACTATTGAGGAGCCCCAGTATATTAAGCCATATCTTAATCTACTGTAGCGAGTACGGCTCTGGATCTCGCTATGATGACTCATCGCCGATGAGTCATCGCCGGTGACTCAGCGCTCGAATAATCGAGAGTGTGGAGCTCGCTGGAATGTTCCAGAAGACGTAGGCGCTGTAATATATAAGGAACGGCGCTTCATGCAGAGTCCAGTTTTGGTTTTGGTACTCGCGTCGAAATAAATAAATATACGTGAAAATAAATAGACTCTTGAACAAAAGTGATATATAAATAATTAGTAGTTAAGTGTTTAGTTAGTTTTATAGTGTTTTAAGTGTAGTTAAGTTATTAAATAAATAGTTTAGTTCGTTAATAAACCAGTGCGTGTTTTAATTCACACTACAGTTAAAAACGTTACACTACTTTCAAAATAACTAAAATAAACCATTTTCAGCGTATCCATACTAATTCCTTTAAGTTTTAATACTCGACGACAATAATACGCTGATCTTAAAGAGTTACACAAGGAGTTAACGTTGTCTTTCCAGTTCAGTGCCGAGTCAATAATTATACCTAGAGATTTAATTTTACTTTCGTAGTTAATGTTATAATTTAGAATGGGGTGTTCTGCGTTGGTATTTCTTTGTTGAAAGTATATACATTTGGTTTTTTCAAAATTTATTTTTATTTTATTTAGAGTGCACCAAGTTTGTATTTTGTCAATTGTATTATTAATTAGATGTTTTTGAGTTAAGAAAAACCTATCATCTGCAAACATGGTTGTTTTTATTTATATTACTATTTGGGACAACTATCTTGTATATTGCCAGATACTATGCATATTTAGTAATTTTTAAATATCCACGTATGTTCAACCTTAAGGTAAAATAGTATTATTCTCAACCAATTTTGTTTTTAATTCTTATTATAATTAGATTTTTTCCATTACTAATAAGTATAGTAAATTTTAAAATAATATGTTGCCATTTTAAATATAAAATATTTTAAAATCAAATATTTTTATATGTTAACAATTAAAAATTGTAACATATTTATTGTACTTTTTAATATACAAAAATGTTATGAGAAAGAATTGAACCTACACCTCGCCAAAGTTTTTTGTTTTGAGTGCGTTCCATCAACTTCAAATACCAACAGACAGGTGTTTTGACCTATATTGGGTATCACGCCCAAAACAAAGAAATACCTGAGCTTATATATATACATGCACTGAAAGAAATATATACTAAAGTTAAATAAAAAAATAATTAGGGCAAATATATTTTATGTTTCATATATGGACTACCACATACATTCCCAAAACAAATATATTCGTTTGGTTAGCAGCCTATTGCTGCCCTAGCAATATAAATGTGTTTCTAGCAATATTTTTTTGCTGTAATTCACTTATAGTTTACATTTTATAGTAAGGGTAAGTTTATTTTTATTTAGATCTAACATATCTTCTTTACAATAAATGTATTACAAAATTTAACATACATTCATAATAAACAGTAGTATAAATGTGTAAAGCACTAGTATAAAATTTTTAGTATAAATTTGTATTTACTTTTAGCAACAAATTTCTTTCAGTGTGGTTGGTAAGCCAACAGAGACGAGATGTAAGAACATCACGTGATCCACACCGTCTAACGACGCGTCGCGACGTGGCATTTTCCGCAATCGGTACATACTATGCAACCAAGTAGGTTCAATTCTTTCTTATAAGTATTACCAGTAATGGGTCAAGAAAGTTTATTGAAGAAACTAAGAAAATTGAATGTTTAAAATGTCATGAGTTACTATATTGTATATTATATTTAAATATTTTGTTTATTTACCTTAAACATAAAAGTATCTTTATTTTTACTATATTTTTTATTAATTTGTAATATATTATAATATTAGATGTACACCTTACACTTGATTAAATCATATAGTAAATATTACTATTTGTAGATAGTAAAATCAATTTACTATACGAACATATTAAAAATTAAAATATATATTATATATCTATATATATATCTTTACTAAAATTGTATAAAAAAATAGTATTTTGTATTACAATCTTAATATTGTATTGACGAATATATAATATTGTTACCCTAAAAATTTGTTAAAGTAAATTTTACTTTTTTTTTACTATCTAAAATTTACTATACATTTATCTCCCTGTATAATTACTTGAATTGCGTAAATTGCGCGTAAAGGTATTGTTTTTCTCAATGTTTATTACTTATTTATTCTTACTTTTTGACTATTATTGTATTAAATACTGTCATAGGTAATGGCTGGACCAAATAATGGTAAGTTTTTATTATTATTTTACTCTCACTACGTCAATGAAGTAACCGCTGCATATTTTTAATGTATGTTTGGACATTATCTACTAAGGTTTTAAAAAATGTCACGCATTCTCACATTCTGTAAACATTTTAATAGCTTACCGTTTAGTCTTTCAAATATATCTAAAATTAAGTGCTAGTAGGCGCCACAAATATTTTTTGTTTATTTTTTAGTTATTACATTATCCTTAACTCATAAGGAGCTCCCTGAAAAGTTGTTTAGTTTGAAGCATTTCAATAGAAAGTAGGTTTTAGATTACTTAGTAGACTTACGCATATATGCAAAAATAAATGTATCTAAAAAAAACTTCATCCAAAAAAAGAAAAAATATAGAAATATGCTGGAAGCCCAGAAGAAATATCATTGTATTAAATAATGTCATAAGTTACTTATGATAAGTATCAATAAAAAAGTCACTGATGACAATAAATAATTTTGAATTAATAACTGATAACTATCAGTAAATATTAATAATTTTCTCAACCTCTGTTTCAAAGTGCAAAATTCATTGCAAAGTGCATTTTGCGTTCATAATGACTTCATTGTAACACCGCTTTCGGTGATGGAATGAGGTACTTTACCCCACCCAAAATTTTGATTTTATAGATTGGCTACTTTAAACAACATACTAGTAAAATATTTTTTTTCATATTGGTTATATTATTTTTATGCAAAATGAAAAATCATGATTTTTCTAGTATGTACTTACGAGACTTTTCTGGCAATAAATTTTGTTTAACACCAAAGAAAATCCTTTTTTCTTTTTTAACATTAACAGCCGCTTATTGTAAATTAGTAAATTTAGGACGCCATGGCGAATCGATGTGATACCAACTATCTAAAGTAAAATTCGACCAAATTAAATATAAGGTATAAAATTATTTTTTTTATAGAATTTTTGCAAAATAGATGAAGTAGCATAAAGAACTCTTGTCATAAGACGTTTTGTCGCACTCGTCCATTACAAAATTCGCTCCTTCGTCGCTCGTTTTATAAATTGTCCTCGTGCGAGAAAATGACGTCTTATGACATTAGATCTTTAATATACTATTTTACTTGTGACTGACTGTCTGAAACCCATCAAACTCGATTTGACAAACCGAAACACAGTATACTGTGTAAATTAGAAAAATTAATAAAGGGGAATATCAATAAGACTTATGTGACTTAGTATCAGTAACGTAACATTTTAACGTTTAAATGTTAAAATTTGATATTCCCCTTTATTAAAAACTATAGTTTTTAATATATATATTAGTAGTTACTGATAGTTACTAAAAGTAACTAATTATTTATGTATTTTTTGTTAAAATCAACCATTAAGTTTTATTTTATAAATGTTCAGTTTAACTGACTCAGTTATATTTTTTTAATTTAAAACTATAGATCTTAATTTTGTTATGGCATGAAGATAATTTTGTTGTTAAAGTATTATATTGTGTATTTGTTTTTCTTATGATAGTAAAATGAAATTTTTATTAAAATTTTAATATTTAAACAAACAAAAAATATACATTAACTAAGAATTACTTAAACAAATTTAATTTATGCGCGTTAAATCGGCTCTCTAGCTCACTGTGCGTAGCTATGATTTGTTGCAGATGTACCATATTTTAAACTAATAATATTATTAATAATACAACATTTTAGAAAAAATTAATTTATTTTTAGATCATTAAAATTGTGATCAATAAACCTTTGTATCATTTGACTAGTAATATATTTTTTAAATTAACTGATTATATTATATTATTTATGATAAAACCAACAATAAAGACAACCCAAACCTAAAGAAAAACCTTAATTTGATTGTTCATGAACTGTATTTATGTAATAAAATTTAAAAAAAAGATATCCATTAAAAGTTGAGACAATATTGACCATTTAGCTATTGTCATAGAGAGCTATAGTA